CGGATCCCTGCTTGAAACCGAGGCACTAAATCTATGGCAGCACCGGCGGAGCCCAACGAGGCTCTTAGTTCGAGACTCTTTAGCGCAGCCCTCCTCAACGTACCCCCTTCCCAGTGTGGGGTGTCCCTAGAAAGGGGGAGTTGAACGCTTGCACCGGATTGAAGGGCTTGACTTGGCATTCTTTTGTTATTCTGCCAAGTCCTCGGTTAGTGTTCTTTCCGTATTGCAAACGAAGGCGAGGTGCCTGATGATGCCTGGCATAAAGCTGCTGGTGAGCTAGTGGCATTTGAACTGAGGGCACCTTGATCTGTCACTCAGCCTCTTAGGTTATTGTAGTTACTTGTTTCTTATACACAGGAATTGCAATACAGCTGATTTCTGATAGGCTAGAAGAATTGTGAACCATGGTGTGGTTGCATACTCCACTCCAAGCCATTGCATTCGTTGGTATGTGAGAAGATAGGTAAGGTATATTGGAAGAAAGTAAGGCAATTTGCACTTGTACTATCCTGCAGATAGTAATTATAGTCCAATGTTTCTCAATCTCAGCAACTTTCAGATGTGTGGACTTCAGCTCCCAGAATTCCCCAGGAGTTGAAGTCCACACATCTGAAAGTTGCTGAGATTGAGAAACACTGAGTTTATACTAAAGGTAAAAAATAGAGTGTATTCTTTCGGAACATATCCTTCCAGATACCTTAGTGTTCGGGTTATGGTAACATGCTCTACACAGGGCTGCCCTTGAGGAGCATTTGGAAGCTGCAGCTGGTCCAGAATGTAGTGGCATGGGCAATTTTTGGCATCTCTCAGTATGGTCTTATTACACTGCTGCTCCATGAGCTGTACTGGCTCCCAGCAGGCTTCCAGGTCCAATTCAAGTTACCGGTTAACACCTATAAAGCCCTACATAGCATAAGACCAGGCTGTTTGCAGGACTGCCTTTTCCCCATTGTTTCAGCCCACCCCACCAAGTCTAACAGGAGGACATGCTCCAGATCCCTTCTGTCAAACAATGCCATTTTTTTGGATCCTGGAATTGTGCCTTCTCCATGGCTGCACCTGCCTTGTGGAACAGCAACCCCCAGAGATCCAAATAGCCCCAGTCTTGTTAGACTTTTGTAAGTCTCTGAAGACCTGGCTATTTCCCCAGGTGTGTGGGATGGGAGGTTAGGTGACCTCTGTTGATTTTTTTTTCTTCCTAGAGTTTTTCCTGCATGTGCAGGGTCTGCTTTTTTTTTTGATCAACCGAATGTTGATCTGTTGGTTACACCAGGAATTGACCAACCGGCTTGTTACCCAAGCCTGACATCTGGGGCTGAGAGAGAGTGGCTGGCCCAAAGTCACCCAGATGGCTTTCATGCCTAAGGTGGGACTAGAACTCACCATCTCCTGGTTTCTAGCCTGGAGCCTTAACCACTAGACCAAGATGGCTTGGGGTTGTTGTTTTAACCAGAGCATCATGGATTATATGCTGTTATGGTGCTTTAATCTTCATATGCCACCCAGAGTTACTCTTGTGAGATGGGTGATTCTAAATACACAGAAATGCCATTTCCCATCAGAGGGATTATTAGTGAAATCTTAATTAGATCTTGTTTTGGAAAGCTGTGATTATAGCAACTATCGGCACTCTCTAGTAGTTTGGGATACCTTTATCTATCACCCTCTTTCCGGAATACAGGAAGATACAAAGTATCATTATGTATTTGGTGAGGATTAAATTAACATAAGACAATATAGAGTGAATGAAGAATACTTGTAGAATTCATGCATTATACATCTTTAAGTATGATTTTATAAAGCAATAGTTTGTAGTACTTTATAGTACTATTGCTCTTTTTACTACACTCTTTTGAGACTCTGCTATGGTAGTAATAATTTATGTTCTTACTAGATTAATTTGCCATTGAACTAGGTTAAGATATGAGAATCTTTTTGCTGTGCAATCTTGCTTAATAAATTCATACAAGTATCTGAGGGTTTTTTAATTCTGAGATAAAACCGGTATATATCTGAAATTTACTATGCTAATAACTGTAAATATGCATAATGTCAGTTATTAGACATTAACTTTATAGGAGATCTAAATGGAGACACTTGGAACATAGTGTTTTGTTCAATGTCACCTTTGTAATAGAGCAGAATACTACAGTGTTTAGTTCTAAATACCTAAACATGTTCAACAGTTGTAAATGAGACCATGATCTTTGGAACATAAATTAAAAGTCCTTTCAGGATTTTGACTTGTTTTAAAAGCTATTAAATAAAAATATTATTAACTGTATTTTTCTCTATTGTGGAAATGCTAATACATCGTCACAATTTTCAAGTTGTGTCCATTTAAATTTGGGAGAATGGCAGTTTTGTTAAGTATTGTTGCTAGGGTATGACGGTATAGTCCTATGGCTTTTACCAAAGTAAGTCCTATTGAAACTTTGAAATGATATATAGAGAATTTATCTGAGTGTTTGCCCAAAAAGTTTTACTTTTTGTCTAAAATATAATACAAAATCTCAGATGCTTTATGAACTTAAAATGAGTTTCATAGCAACTCTCGCAATTAACAGAAGAATTTCATGAAAAGTTTGTTTCCTTGTTTTGCTGTGCTTGAAGCTGTAAGAGTCCCAAAACTGTAATGTCGAATATTATTTTATCCTATTGAAGTGAATTTGGAATCTGAAAGTATATGAAATTCATTGTGTATTATATGAATATTGCTATTAAAATTTTTAAATGTGGGTTTTACATTTCAGTAAAGCCCATTAACATCAATGGGCTTGTAAATCATTAATGCATTAAATTGGTTTCAGTGGTTCTATTCTTAATCATAACTAAGGTTCTGGATCTATCCTACCATAGTACGGTAAGGTGATGTCGGCCAACATCCTGTTATGCTGCTAGAAAAGGCTGAATGAGCTCAGTGCTTTCAATACTCTCTCTGTGCAGTATCTCAGAACTGAGACTTTTTAAGGTATCTTTTATGTTATAATGCTTGCTTACTTCTTCACCTTATAGGTTTAGTTTAGTGAAGAAAATAAACATCTTCTACCAATTTCTATGAATATAAAAAATACTATATTTCTGTATCAAAACTTTGTGCTTTTTTTGTTCTGTTTTAGAAAACACTGTGTGACGTTATATTGATGGTCCAGGAAAGGAAGATTCCAGCTCATCGTGTTGTACTTGCTTCAGCTAGTCATTTTTTTAACTTGATGTTTACCAGTAAGTTTTTTTTCCAGTTCAGCTTTTATTAGTCTCTTAAAAATATCATTTTATTTATTCTCCAGATTTGCAAAAAAAGGGAAGAATTCTGTAAATAAAAATAGTCTAATTTTACTAATTAATAGATATAAACTATTTTTTCTTCATTGTCTTGAACCTATGTAGCTGGACTAGCAGTTTGCTTAAATGTAGTTCAATTGTGCCATATGAGCTGCTGAATTTTCTTTCCTATGGCTTCCTAAAAGCCTTTCTGAGATGCAGTTAGTGTAGAACAAGTCTTGCCACTATAGCTCCTACAGTCATAATTAGAGCATAACATTGATGCCTTCATTCTTCATTTTCCATGGGTAGTTTAAAACAGGCTTCCTCTTATCAATAGATCTCTTGCAAAAGTAATGTGTCTCCTCCCTGACAGCATGTTTCATGAGGAGAACATGAAACTAGCCCTGCTGGATCAAGCCTAGCATTCCATCTTACATGGTGGCTGGACCACAAGATGTATCTAAATAGACCACAAATAGGAGATCAAGTGTAAATCAGGACTTTGCCATTGTCACTTTGAGCAGCTGAGCTAATTTACTTCTGGCTCAGCTATGCTTCTTGAAGAATGGCAGCATTTCCACTTTGGAACTGAGAATGCTGTGTGGAGCTTGGGGGTGAGCAGTTGTCCTACTGGTGAGAACTTCTGCTTTACCCTGGTTTCTTGGCTTTCCTACAGTTGCTAAGCTGTTATTGTACCACAGTGTTCTCATAAATGTCCTAAGCTGAGAAAGGGAGAGTACATTTTGAAGCTTTGCAATTTCTTTCACTGTGACTAGCTTCCCACCCCCCGCCCCAAAACAAACTCAGTCAGGACAGGGTTTGGGGGTCTGGCTGGATGCAGTACTGCTTTTCAGTCCACTTAGCCAGAATTCTTGGTGGCTGTAGTTATGATAGATGTGGGCTGCTGTTAAATAGTGTTTGGGTGGGACAATAGTAGCTGGCAATGCCTAAAGAGACGTATAATGAGTGTTTCAGAACTGCATCTGATAAGGGCTCCCAAAAGAAACAAGGCTGCCCATTCACAAATCAGAGTAATAGCTCTTCAAGATTTTAAAATTAACTCTTGATAATATTATTTATCTAATTGCAGCAAATATGATTGAATCAAAGTCATTTGAAGTTGAATTAAAAGATGCCGAGCCAGATATTATTGAACAGCTGGTGGAATTTGCTTATACTGCAAGGTAGGTATATCATAATATCTGCTATTGCTAGTCAGCTACAAATACAAAACTAGAAAACTTTGTTTGTGAGATTAAATTGGGCATCCAACTACCAAATATTAGTATTAGTATATCTGTCTCTAATACAGAATGTTATTTTACAATGGTGCAAGAAATATTCACATTAATTTGATATAAAAACATAATACTACAGTTCTCTACATTTTTTAGCTGTTAAGGTTAGGAAAATGTCTTCGGGATGCTTTTTTAAATGCCATTTATAGAATTTAATATAGATATGTATGTGTGTCAGGGTTTATATGTATATATTCTTCTTAAAATGTTTACTTGTGGAAACATCATCATTTTTTTTCAGAATTTCTGTGAACAGCAACAATGTCCAATCGTTGTTGGATGCAGCAAATCAATATCAAATTGAGCCTGTGAAAAAAATGTGTGTAGATTTTTTAAAAGAGCAAGTTGATGCTTCAAATTGCCTTGGTAAGATATCTCCCTCCTGTTAAAGATATTCCAAGATTTCCAAAGCTTGAAATGAAGAATTTTGGCTGCTGTGTATTATATTTTAGGAATCACTTCTTTATAATAATTTAATATATAATTTGGTTAAGATTTGAAAATGCTATATGCATATTTCAAAACATTGAGGCATATAACAAAAGGGTTTCCTTAATAAGGAATAATTAGATTTCAGTTAAACTAAGTAGAACTGTTTTGTTCCGCAAAATTACCATTGAATTTTTTTTTTCTAAGATAATTGAAGTAAATACTGGAGAGCAGATTTTGAATTAGTGCTTTTTTCTAGTGGTTAGCCCATCATCATGATTCTATAGATTAAGGTACTTAATAAGATAGCAGTATTTTGGTTCTTGTTTTGTCAGGAACAAAAAGGAAATCTACACTATTTTTTTGAGAATCAGTTTAGTGTAGTGGTTAAAGGCTAGAAACTGGGAGACTGTGATTTCTAGTCCTGTCTTAGGCACAAAGCCAGCTGGGTGATCTTGGCCCAGTCCCTCTCTCTCAGCCCTAGGAAGCAGGCAGTGGCAAACCACTTCCAAAATCTTGCCAAAAAAACTGCAGGAACTTGTCCAGGCAGTCACTAGGAGTCAACACTGACTCGAAGGCACAAAAATAACATATAGCATTTTTTATAAAACGTCTCACAAACATTGCACTTTTTCCTCTTTTTTCCACCTTGCATTAGGTATAAGTGTATTAGCAGAATGTCTTGACTGCCCAGAACTGAAGGCCACTGCAGATGACTTTATTCATCAGCACTTCACAGAGGTGTATAAGACAGATGAGTTTCTACAGCTAGATGTAAAACGTGTGACACATCTCCTCAACCAAGATACACTGACTGTAAGAGCAGAAGATCAGGTGAATGCCTATATATATATAATATATGTAGTGGCTGGATAGTGTGGTGGTTAGAGCACCGCCTTTTGACATGGGAGATGGGGGTTCAAATCCCGGCTGGTACCTACCTTATCAGTAGGGGTCCTTGGGCAAAGACCCCCCTAACTCTTCACTTGCCTACCTCGGATATGAGAGTGACAGGAACTAAGAGAGCCATGCCAGCTCAGATGTCACCTGGATTAACAAGGTCTGTGCCAGATGTTGGGGAATCAGGACAATCTGACAATAAGTGGACTACTGGAACAAACTATACATGGATGAAACAAGAGAACCTGGAATTGATGGAATGCTACTGCAAGAGTAGACCTAGTAAGAGGGGATATATGAAATGTATGAGGGAACTACGGTTGGACAGAATACCTACATCCACATTAACTGAGAAACAGATAGTTACCTAACGCTTCAACATAGTGAAGAAAAAGCTGCTCTCACAACTTGAGATAGACCAACTATACATCCCGGACTCAAGAAGACCTAGAAGAACAACTGGATGTGCAGCTGACACCTGAAGCTGGAATGTCATTGCCACCCCCTCCATTACAGAGCACAGGCATAAGATCCTGGATAAACTAGCTACAATCAACCCTTGAGACGGAGTACCAAGAAGTACCATCAGATAGCATGCTAGAAGATGCCAATAGAACCCTCATAACAATCCTTACTACCACCATAACTCAAACCAATTAACTGGTATAAGCTACAGCTGCTATAATCCTGAAGATGCTTGGCTACATGATCAAGAAGAACAGCAGTACATTCCCCCCCCCCCATGAAAAATGAGGTTGGAGGCTAAGATAAAGGCAACTCAGAGAGAAGTTAGTCAGCTGGTGGAGCTACAGAAAGGTGTGGAGATTAAGGATAAGGCTCGGCTACTGAAAAAATACAAGGGCCTGACTCCATCTGAAACCCTAGAGAATGTTAAACAAAGGCTCATAGCACTGGCTACCAGGCTAAGGAGATACACTAGAGAAGCAGAGGCCAAGAAGATAAATGCCGTGCACTGGCTACCAGGCTAAGGAGATACACTAGAGAAGCAGAGGCCAAGAAGATAAATGCCGTGTTCTCCAAAGAACCATCCAAGGTGTTCTCTCAACTGCAGTACAACAACACAGTAACAGCAGAGCCACCAACAGCAGAAACTAAACAGTATTGGAAGAACATATGGGAGAAAGAAAAGACACACAACACCAGTGCAAAGTGGATGCGGGACCTGAGAGCAGACCACAGCAATCTCCCAGAACAGGAACCAGTCACCATCACAGTAGCAGACATCCAGCAGCAGGTCAGGAACATGAAGAGCTGGACAGCGCCTGGCCCAGACATGATCCACACCTGCTGGCTAAAGAAACTAACAGCAGTGAACAAATGCTTGGCAGCACAGATGAACCAGCTGCTAGCAACAGGCTCCCACCCAAACTGGCTAACACAAGGAAGGACAGTACTAATCATGAAAGACCCCCACAAGGAAACAGCACTGTCCAACTACCAGCCAATAACCTGCCTCCCCGCAATGTGGAAAGCCCTATCAGGCATCATAGCCGCCAAGCTATAGGACCATATGGGCCAGAACATGAGCACAGCTCAAAAGGGCATTGGAAACAACTCCAGAGGCTCAAAACACCAGTTGCTCATAGATAGAGCAGTCTCCCAAGACTCAAGGTCTAGACAGACCAATTTGAGCAGAGTCTGGATTGACTACAGTGCCACACACACCAATGACTCAGTGCCACACACATGGATCTGTGAATGCCTGATGCTATACAAAGTCAACAGGACCCTAAAGACCTTCCTCAAGAACTCAGTGGGACTGTGGAAGACAACACTGGAAGACGACTCAAGACAGCTCACACAAGTGGCCATCAAGTACAGCATAGACCAAGGTGATGCACTGTCCCCACTGCTGTTCTGTATAAGCTTGACCCCCCTCAGCCAGATAATCACAAGGACTGGATATGGATACAAGTTCAAGAGTGGAGTTACCATCAGCCACCTCCTCTACATGGATGACATCAAGCTGTATGCTAAGAGTGAACAAGACATCGACTTGCTGATTCACCTGACATGGATTTATAGTGAGGATATTGGGATGTCATTCGGATTGGAGAAGTGTGGCCGGATGATAGTAAAGAGAGGGAAGTTAGTTTAGACTAATGGGGTGGCACTACCAACGGGCCACATAGCAGACATACAGCTA